TATATGATTTATAGGAGATAAATTCATAAAACTTATTGAAAAAGTGAATAAACATGACAGCAGCAATTAAAACATTGTGGAAGCAAGCGCTAAATACATTTGAAGAGCGAACTAGCTCAGGATTTAAGCTTTGCCAAAAAAAATTTGATAAATTACGAAATTTGATGAACAAGATTACAGCAGAAGATGTAAACTTAAACAAACAGATTCTAGACTTCATTCAAGTGCAACATGCTCCAATGTGGGTTATTGACATATTTCAAAATCAAGACTTTGCTATCTCAATATTCATATTGAAACATGGCTTCACAATGCCAATACATGATCATCCTGGAATGTATGGATTTTTGAAAGTATGTGATATACATAAACATACGTACATTTAAACATGCAATAATTAATTTTTTTATCGATTGTTATAAAATATTATGCTTTTTGCAAACTAAACATTTCTAGGTTTATACAGAATTTAATTATTTTATTTATAATATAGGTAATCAGTGGAGTGGTTCAAGTAAACAATTATACTTTAAAAGCCAATGAAGATCATACAATTAGATTGAACAAAGAAGAAATGGCATATAGACACAAACCAATAACTTTGCATAGTAATTCACCCGCTTGTACTCTGACGCCAAAAGAAAAGAATTTGCATGAAATTACATGTATCGAAGGTCCTGCTGCATTTTTGGATATACTTAGTCCCCCTTATGATGTAGATATTGATTCTGGGAAGGGTCCAAGACCATGTAGATTTTTCAAAACTGTTAGTAGTTCAAAAGCATGTACTGATACGTCGGACATAATTGAAGAAGTTAAGTTGGTGGTTATTGAAGGTCAACCAGATTTCTATTCTGGGAGTCTCAAATATACGGGACCACCCTTGATGTGACCTGAAATATCCAAAAATACTTTTTGTTCCATTTGTTAACAAAATTTTGTTGCATTTTATTGTATTAATTTAGAATTGCAATTGTACAATACATTTTTAAAGCTATCCATATTTTCATGTGTAATATATCTG